TCAAGTTCTGGAAGTGATCACATATGTCACATTTGTCTTTATCCTCTGCTTGGCAAAACAGGAGCATATATAGATAAAATACCTTTCTTTGAGAATAATTTTGTGCTGACTGCCAGACCAGGCCCTCCAAAGATCTCCACAGACAAAGCTGAATACAATTTTTATTTGCAGTTAAATAAAAGGATTCATAGAGCTACAAGTAATTGTGAAGACATTCGTTATTTGGCTAGCATCAGTTTCAAGCAATTTTTTGTCTATACAGAGTCCTGCCAGGCCTAAATTAAGTACATGAATGACATGAAAATGTTTTACACTGTATAAAAATGTTACTTGGGTGTAACTTAACATGTATATATCTCTAGAACATGAAGAAACATCAACATTGCATTAGAGTCATGACAAATAATTCAGTTCCTTAAGTTTTGCTTAAAGATTAATATAGTCTATATATGTTTTGAGCAATGTCCTTAAAAAAAATAGTATTATATGATAATCTCAGTCATTATCTGCCTTTTCTCCTCTATGAAAAAGGGAAGTCTCCTAGAGTGGAGACATTATATTAATTGTACTGTTTAGTAATAGCAATGTTCATTATGAGAGGCTTAATTATGGTCATCATTTACAAAAAAAATCAGTCTTGCCATGGAAAGCATAGTAATGAATGCCTCTTGTTTAAAAATTAATGAAACATTTTTCCTGAACATGTGAAGTCTACCAGTCTACAGGGTCTCCTCACTTTTATTTTCCTCTTTAAAAGAATTAATATTAATGAAAATTATATTACAAATAATTGCAAAATGAGAGTCTTTTTTTATACTGCAACTTGGATATGTTTGTTTATTTATGTGGAAAGCCATGAAAAATCAAAAAAAAGGTTACAAGAATAAAAGACAAGTAATTTTTAGTTACGCAGTGATTATTTTGTGTGGAGGACCAAGATGAACTCTTATTTATACTGGTGCAAATAAATGGTAAATTTAATTCTACTCCAATTTACAGCAGAATAGTCAAGAACTTTCTTATTTCTAGGGACTAATATGTAATGTGAGCAGCCTAAATGACAACTTACTATGTGTTCCTCAAGGAACGATGTTCTCCAGTACCTATGTAAAGGGCTTTATAGGCATGAGGCATAGGCTTTCCAAACCCTAGATTCATTAGGATTAGTTTTAGCAAATCAGGAGGATGGAAAGTAGCCTTTAGTTTTCAGAAGAACTTATATTTTTCTGTAGCAGGCTTTAGTTGATGTGTAAACTGAATCACATAATTTGAAAAATAAAGCAGTTTGTAGTGAGCTCACTGACGTTTTACATGTCAGTTTTAATTCAGCAGTAGTAGCTCTGAGTTTGGCAAAATATGAGTTCTTCATTAGAGGAGGCATTTTGTCCTTAGCTAACCTGGTAAAGCACATTGGAGGGGCATACTTTTGAAACTTCCTAAAAATTATCCAGCTGTGTTTGCTTCTTGCAATCAACAACATAAAGAATATGGAATAAAAAATTTTTTCTCCACCTTAGCAAAGAAATGGTCTTTTTGTAACCATTTTTGTCTGTGTGGGTTGGCTGTAATCTCTCTTGGGATCAGAGTCTACAAAGACCACTCTCAAGACAACTCAGAAATCTCTCACCCTTACAGAATAAATTAGCAAACAAAAATACCGCTGGCAAAAGAAAAGGTTTTTAGAAGCTAAAGTGTTAGGATAATTAAATGCATATTTCAGCAGTATTTCTTTGGCATCGATTGGCTGAGGCCACTTACTATAAAGGGTTGAATAGTTAATTCAAGTACTAGACACCTCCTAAAGGAGATGACCTTGGAGTGGTATAATTTGAACAGTAATTTATTTAGTTGAAGAAATGAATATGTTCTCAATTAGCTTAGCAGGCATTATAATAACACTAGTGGGATTTATATTTACTTGTGTCACTTTGTTGTAAGAATAAAGTTACTGGATGTTTGCCTGCATTTAGTCCCACAGTTCATGGTTCTTCACAGAAGAGATGTGAAGGTTTTCTCATCCTGATTAATAGGTGTCCAATCCCAATGCTGCAGATCACTCAAGGGAACTGAGGGATATACAGCAGTATTACTGGCAGAAAACAGTGTTACTTACCTAAATCTTTCTCATACTGATTTCCCCCCCCTATTATGGATCCTCAAACTTACCTCATAAATTGGTTCTTGATCTGAGATTATCCCATCTCACCACTGGGGCTCTTGAAGGTTTATCACAGCTATGTTATTTTACTGGGATTTTTTTTTCCTACTGCTTTAATCTGCTGTCACTATAAAATTTCAAAGCAGTAATTCAACTGTGCTGTACCTAAATAATGCTGCAATAATCTGATCTAAACTTTTTAATGTATTTTTTTAAATTTTCAAATGTTGACACATTTTCACTATTCACTGTTTGGGGGACATATCAAAGAATTTATAATAGACATAATCTACCTACCCCACACCACAGTATATCTTTTATGGAAACTCGCAATCTAGAGTTGTCCATTATCAGCAACTGCCATCAGAAATAAAGCAACCATCAGGATTTTGTAGAAATAGCTCCATAAGAGGTCTGGGGAAAACAGACCTTAAAAAAAAAAAAAATGACAAGAACAAGTAAAGATTTTCAAGGTTCATCTGTCTTTCCGGAAACAAAAGAGTGAATCTGCAGAGGCTCACCGTAGTCAATGAGTGACTTCCCGAACTCTGCCAGGAGAGGTCTCCGCAGGACTCCCTGCTGCAGTAGGTATTGGGCAGACTCCCTTTGTGTGGTCCCAGCCTTCCCTTCTGCAAAAAAGCATGTGATGTATGCTCCAAATCAACTCTGTCTCTAGGTTGTAGGCAGTTTCATGACGTGCTACCATTTATACGAATTAGAGGCAGGTTTGGAAATCCTCTTTTTGGAAACAGATTAATCAAGTTGTTAAGACAGGCTGGCTGAGTTGGTTTGCTCCATTTCTAATAACAATCTCATGACCCAAGAAAGAGTTGAGTGAAACAAAACCAACCATGCCTTCCTAAGGGTCTCATTTGTGGTATTTACTAACCATGCAGGGCACTTACACCCGTGCTTTATTCTCTTATACACATGCTTAAATATTATCGAGCAGAGGTCCTCTCAGTCTGTGTGAGGAGAATTCCTTGATTGTCTTTTTTTCCCAGTCTTAGGGATACTGCTTCCACTCTTTTCCTGCTTGTGGGAATGCTCTGTGAGTACACAGCACTCCTAAAAGTCAGGAAGGTTTGGTGGCCAAGGAAACTCATATCATGTGAGTGACACTGCTTACAGTATAACCCGTAACGCTACAAACTCCATGTGATATAGTGTGTCTGCTCTTCAAAATGTGCAACAAATCAAATTGTATTTAATTCTCCATAATATTTTGCAATCAGTGATGGTATTGAATTTTGCATACAGATGCTGATAATTTTGTAGTTGGTGCCATTTTACAAAATTTGTTTAAGGAAAAGATACTTTAAAATGAAGCTCATATAAACCACAAAGTTGTACAACTCTGCCTGCAGACATTTGGGAGAAGAGTTGAGGAAATCAAAGAGCTGTTTATTTCTTTTCAGTCTCAAGCTATCTATCAACTAGGAGAACTGATAAGAAGAAAAACCCAATGAGAAGTTTATAGTCACAATACAAAATATTTTAGGAGCAGTAAGCAGCATGTTTTCCATTTAACAGTCAGTGTTTTGAAAGAAATTAATGGTAACAGTAAATGAGCAACTTTGATCAGGATACTTATGTTGGTGTTGGAATATGAATTTCAGTGGCTGTCTATGGACATTGAGGCTTGGATGTTGACTGTGATTTGGAAACAATTAAACTATATTTTTTGTCCCTTGAGTCCATCATGATATTTCATTGTAAAAAGATGATTTAGTGTTAGGAAAAAAAAAATCCTAAAAAATTCTCCTTCTTTTCCAGTAGAGTCTCATCCCTTCCTAATCAGTAAAAGGTTGTGGTGGTTTGAGCCACCACAAAAATCAAAAATCCAATTTCCAGGCTTCCCCCACCCCTTCCCACAATTTTATCTCAACACCAAAGAGAAACTTTCAGGCAAGAGGCTTCTACAGGGGAAAAGGGGAAGTATATACATTTATTTTACACAAACAAATATACTGTACAAGCTAAAAGCAACTATATATATAATACTACACACTTCTATCAGTCCCTTTAAGCTTCTCCCTCAATTCAGTCCAGGAAAAGCCCTTCGGATTGATAGGTAACTAATCTTCCTCTAGTGGGAGTGTTCAGGGAAAAGGGTTCACTCCCCCGCAACCTCCAGCTGTTCACTGAAGTTTCTTCTTCCTTACGAAGTCCAAGAAAATAGTTTGAGTCCATGCTCCTTGGGTCTGTGTCGGCCTCTGCTGTGTCATTTTCTCTCTCATACCTCGGTTTCGTAGCTGCTGTAGTTTAGTTCAGCTTATCACATGTACGCGTCCTAGAATCTTCATTCCTCCTCCGAGTTTTCGGCTGTCCTCTGTTTAAATCACTGCAAGGATTTAAACAGAGGACCTTTAAACCTCTGGGCCTTTCTCTGATCCGTCTCCAATTTTGCCTGGGGTAATCTCCCTAGTGCTGGGCTGTGTTCTGCCCGTCCACTTTGGCTCGGTTCCAATGGTGAGCCTCCCCTCCACTTTACAGTGAGAGGGAAAAGAAAGCCCCCTCCACAGTCTAGCTGGAAAGGGGGGGCGGGAAGAGGGCCTGGCTCCTTGCAAGGATCCTGCCTGTCTCTCTCCCCGCTTACCTTATGTTGTGAGTATCTCTCTCTCTCACAACTCTCCAATGCTGCCTCCAACCCTGGCCTAGCCAGAGCTGTGGGGCCACAGGGCCCCCCTTCCATGGAGGGGAAAAAAGGGGGCCCTGCCACCCCTGAGCCTTCTCACACCCACACACCCACACAGCAGCAGACGCAGCAGCAGCCAGACAGACCGATTGCCAACAACTTCCAATGGTTGTGTATATATGATTTTTCACAGGAGTGAACAAAACGAGCAGTGATTGGCCCTCCAGGGGAGACTGCCCTGGAATCCAGTCACCTCGCCTATAGGCCCCCCGGCTCCCAGGAGGAGCAATTTTCAAACCATGACAAAGGTGATCAAGCAACTTCTTTTACTCTGTCCCAACACACACTCTACTCACTGTATGAGGCTTCCTCTTGGTGTTGTATTAAGGTCTTTGGACCAAGACAAAGGTTATTGAATCTTACAAGTTAGCATGCACATACGCTTTCACATTAATTAACTTGCAGTCTTCACAACAGCTGTGACAGTATGGCTTGTTGCATGAAATGCTGTATTTTATTGATGAAAGAACATTTTGTTCAGACTTTCGTTTCTTTGAATGGAATAACTCAAAGAAATCTTGTGTTGGTTATGAGTCTTGTTTTACAGCAAGTGCTGAAGTATTGTACAAAAGCAATCTGGAACACCAAGGTTTAGCAAATGGATTTTACAGTGACTATTGTAATGTTCTGTTCTTCATGTAAGCATTTTCAGTCTACCAAGATCAACATCAGTTTAAATAGTTTAAATAGTTTAAATAGTTTAAATAGTTTAAATAGTGGAATGCTGAATCCTGTAGTACCTATTTAGATCTAGTGTAAATGGGCAGAGGAAATTGGATCCACTCACACCAAATTTGATCATGTCCATAGTAGTAACATCATATCTCTTTATATGATATGATCTATAGTCTATATGTAATGTGTATGTAATAGAATACATTAATTCCATGATAAGTCCAATATTTTAACTTGGCGGTGAAAAGGCTGGAAGAAAGGGGTAGAGGAACTCTCTCCCTCACTTAATGCAGGAAGAAATACCAGACAATCACTAAGATGCTTTCCCAATGCCGTGTTTCTGGCGCCTAGTTCTGGCCACATGCATCTCAGAAGATAATATCCCAACACCAGTAGTGCTGTCTTCGACTTTAGTTTCCCCCGCTGTGATGGCAGAGATCTTCACCACAGTTTTTACTCTCTAGCCTCTCCCCATTAAATCATCTGGATAAGCAACAGTAGAAGGAAAATATTTTCCCTCTGGTTGTGTTGTTCCTGTTGCCCATGTTCTGCGTTTTATGTTTGTGTAATTCTACTCACCACTGAAAAAACTTCCTCTCAGACTGTAGTCAACTACACAGACAAAAGGGGCAGAACAGCAGGGAAATGATGACATATGGAAAACTTGTGATGTCCTAAGTCATATATTGAGAAGAATTCCTCAGGTCTAGGTTTCCTACTGGTGCAGGTAATCTTTTATTAGCATTAATAGCACTTGGCAGATATGTTTCCCAGGAAAAACTCCATACCTACTGTCCAGATGCCTGACTAGTAATCATACGAAGAAATCTTCATGCTCTGTAGCAAAACAACAGGTTTCCCATAGACAGCACATGCTACCTCTTGGTAGAAAAGACACCTTCCATCTCTACAGTTAAGACAAGCCTGAGATATGGGAATTCAACACAACAGACTAGCTGAAATGAAAGTGTCACGGGTTATATCAGTACACTTCTAATAAAATTCCCTTACCATGATCAACCTATGCCATTCAATTTAAAGTTGAGATTAATTCTCCAAGACACATTATGGTACTGTGTTAATAATTGAAAGTGTCTTATAAGTGCTTACTTTCATATTTGGCATAACCACAGAAAATGCTTCCACTGACCTTTAGGTCAAAAATATGTTGGATTATCATGATTGACACACTCAGAATGACTCATTCTTGCCAAACACAGCATAACAAATTTTTAACATTCCCTTTTCTTTCGAACTGTTTCCACTTTCATGATATGAAATATGGCTGTATTATGTACCACCTCTCATTGTCTAACAGTTTTTTCTCAGAGTTCAAGAAGATTTACATTTGGAGGTAAATGTTTCAGTGATTGCTCTGTTGGATTTCATTACACTAGTGTAGTTAATCAAAGGAAGTCTGACCTTGCAACCGTTATTTATTGTATGGTTTTTTGAACTTAGACATTTATACTGAATGAATATACACATTATCACCAGAGTACCAGATTTTCTTTAACAGCCTGCATGACACTGCACTATAATGCCTTAGTAAACTGCTTACGCCATGCATGCACTGCAGCTGCTTTTTTTTCCTGCCTTTTGTTTTCTTTTTTTCTTTACCCCCCCCCCCCCGCCTTTTTTCCTTTTTGAGGAACTACAGTGGGAGTGTTTGTCAGTGCAAGGGAAATTATACTGTCTTGTGGTCCTAATACTGCTATTTCACTATACATAGGGATATTTTCAGATCTGCATACTTTGTCTATGCAGCTGGGTGGGCTGCAAAATAGTCATTAACGAGAAATCCCCAAATAATCATAACACGCTCAATTTTGGCTGATGTTTATTCAACCACATACTTAATAGTGGAATTCAGTTATGGCGAAGAGAATCACTGTTTTTGGTGTGGCTGAGAAAAGATTCTGTGCTTTCTGTTACTTTCTTCTGGACAATCTGTAAAATAGTTTTGCCACCATTGAGAGGGAAAATTCTTTTATCTTTGAAGAACTCCCAGAGGTAAAGATTTAAGGTAATAGCCTCTGTTAGCTAATATTTCCTAACCAGCTATTTTGCAGAGTCTTATGCAGACTAGGATCTGTATTTAATGTGCTGGCAGAGTTGAGTTAAAGCCTCAGCAACCTCTTTTAAATGCTATAAATCAGACACACAGAGCTATTTCCTGCCTGGAGGTGAAGATGAGTGTTTAGTAAGATTTATCTAAATGCCTAAACAGGTCAGGTGCTTAATTCCCACCGAAATCGAATGACAGTGCTTCAAATACCTCTGTAAATCAAGATGCTTGTACTTCTGGATTTTTGAAATGTGTTAATACTAGTACCTGCTATTGTCATACTTTTATTCTCTGTCTGGACTGAATTTATGTGACAGTATATGTGACAGCTTTTAGTATAATGTGGAGGAAAGTAGTACTAGCAAAGCCAGTTTTGACAAGTGTCTAGATAAAATTCAGGCACAGCTGGCTGTGGAATCTCTGTCTTCCTAATCTCTGTTTATGCACAGCTGGCTCATTACTCATACTCTGTGGTGTTCACCATTTCCATCTCAGACAAAACACACTGGCTGTTAGGTGTTAGGTGTGACTCTTCAAATGAAGAAGCCAATCTGTGTGAAGAGAACAATGGGGATTGCCCATTCTGGATCAGTTACTTGGAAGAAGCACATGTGGCAGGAAGGAAGAAATTTTTAATCTTGTAGAGTTATCAGTGTGTTATTGTTCTATGAAAATAGATGCCAACTTCTAAACTGGATTACAGTAATTTTTCACTTAGTAGGTTAAATGGTTATAAATTGACTGGACCCAGTTATGGGAGATTTCCTTGGTTAGACGTATCCTCCACTTATTTAAGGTCCCCACAACAGCTCCTCTGACACAGTTCCTTTTAGTCTTCGTCATAGAGGAAGCATATTACAAAGTGAGAAGTAATTTTCACCTCCTCAAGCAACCCTGAGGACAATAGTTAGAGAGCATAGCATGGAACAAAATGAATTTTGAGGATAACTATTGGATGTCTGTTACTACTGTCATCAGCCTAGTTTGTTACTGCCTAGGAACTATTTTTTGTCTTAACAAAAGGTACCCAAAAGCACCAAACAACTACAAAATGGGAACACAGACAAATAATATGCAAATATCTGCCACTGGGATTGTCTTTGCATCCCCAGTGTCACCTATCTGCCCTACCAACAACATATTGTTAATTCATTCCCCTGTTCAAAAAATGAGATTATATTTTGTGTTGGCTATGTGATAATCACAATCTCCTTTTGTGTTTGCTTTCTACAGACATTTGAATGATTGCCTTTTTCTGGCACAAATGGCCACAGAACACATGCTCCTCTATCACATGCAGGGGTATTCACTAAAACTAAATGTCATATTCATATGTGTAAATATTTCTTCCAAAATTATATGCTTGTTGTTCCACAGCATAAATAGAAAGAATACATCGTGACTTATCTGGCTCATCACAATTAACCAGTCCAACGAAGTTGACAAATATTTGCACGTAAAGCTTTTGGATTAATCTACATGGTTACTTGTTTAAAAAAATAATTTCAAATAACAAACAAATCTGGAAAACTATGAGCTGTTTGCAAAAAGAAGGCAATGTGTCTGATGAAATATTCATTGCGAATTATTCACCAGTCTCAAACTGTAGTAAGTGTTAAGATAAAAGATTTGTAAACTCATCAAGCATTCAACAAAATTCACCAAGCCTGCTACTTTTTTTTTTTTTTTTGGTTGTGGCACTTATGCCTATGAAAATATCTTCATGAATTTGCAAGATTCTCAAGATTTTATAGTTACTTTCTGAATTAACAATCATTCAGCAGTTAAAACAAATCTATATTACCAATAGATCTGTGCTCTTCTGTTTCATTGCTTTACTTCAAAGGCATATTAGTGTTGCACATAGGCTAATACTTCTTAGAAAACACAATTTAATTTCTTTCCAGTGCACATCATTCCAACAACAAAGGAGAAAACTATCCAGCTCTTCTTATATTAAGTAAACAAATGCAAATAGAAGGAAATGTTATGTAAGTATTAATTTAGTTTAATAATCCTTGTAATTTTTTAGGATGAATTTACTCACATATAGAAGTTTTGTTAATTCTACTAAGTCCTGATTGGAGGGTATGCACTGTCCTCATACAGGGTGTTTGGCTATTTGCTTCTGGCAAAACTTTACCCAAGTTACTATGACCTATGTATGTAAAGATAGCTGGGAACATTCCTATGGAATCTAATAGTGTAAAGATTCAACTGCATAGATAATCCCTATTGTAAGCAACTTGACTGCACTGTAATGAGTAGAATACACCTTTTTGGTGGTTTTTTTTTTTTAATATCTAAATAGTGGAATATACAATTGTTGACATTTCAGTCCTAAACCAGCACTCAGTTAGGTTCTTTTCTGCAACAGAAGTTTCACCACAAAAATTTTGACTACATAATTTCCTGTCCTCTCTATAGGAAGTGATTGTATATTATGATAGGTTAGAAAAGGGTTTATGGGGGGATAGATAGCCTTCTTAGGTGTGTTTCTTTAGAGAAGAATTCCAGCAGATCATTTTAAAGATTACTTCTTTAATAAGAAATACTGGACATAGTGAAACAGTGATAGCAAATACAGCATGGATTCAACAGAATAGTATCACCCCTTTTTGTAAAACATACAAGGTATTATACTGTTTAACCTCTGATATTAGTGAATAGTAAATAAAATGTGCTAAAGAATATGAAAAACAATTCATTGTGAATATACAGAATTTTTCAGGCGAGTACTCCCTCTCCCCAGTTCTTCAAAAATGTGACTTCTGAAATCTACACATTAAGAAGAGACAGGGAAAAAAACCCCACCTAAATTTTTCAAAATGTATTGATAATGTGGAAAAAACCTCTACCTAAATGTTTGGAAAGATGCTGATGCTGTGTACACAAAATGCAAAAGTTAGTAACTTAGCAGATGGAGATATTAAAAGAAGGCTTGTAAGGCTTGATCTGTTGTGCTGAGTGCTTTATTATCACCATCACTTATGCCTGTTGAAGATGTTCTAATATTTTACTGCAATGACAACAGGATCTCGGAATTGGGATCACTCCAGCATTGTTTGCATTTACTAGGATAGATGTAGGCCACATTCTAGATACATCCAGAAGCAATCTAACTGTAAAAAGGCATCCTTCCTAGCCATCATAGTTCCAGCCACAGTATTTCCAGGCACTTGAGCACAGAGTATACTGGTCTCTTACTCACTCACTCATTCAGATATATTTATTTCATTAACGTCATCTATAAAAACCAAATGCTTACCAAGTGCATGAGGAGACCTCAGGTAGGATGTATCATCTTTAGCTGTTCCACCTTCAATTATTTTGCTGTTTGACGCATGATAAGAGAAATAAACCCCCCTTATCAGAATGAGACATTTGAAAATAGGCATCTGATGATACAGAAATGTATCTTACTAATATTGGATTCAAGGTACATGTACATATATGAATGATCACTTCAAATAAGCTCAGTTTCAGTAAGATTGACTGATTATAACTTAAGAAAAGGTTGTTTTAAGATAAAAATACACTCGGCACCACCTGTATACTCTGGTTCACTACATGAAGTGGGAAGCATGTTGTAATACACCTCAGGGTATTGCAAGCAGCATATCGTCCCATCAGTTGCATGTCAACATACTACAAAAGACTTGCTTTTTAAGACTGCATTAGGACTGAAGTGAACAGGAAAATCCCCTTAAAATTATTACATGTTTTAAAAAGGAACGTAAAGTAAGGAGAGATAAGCCATGTCCATGCCATAAGCTGCATGATGTGAAAAGTCTCCTGGTCACTACCTGCATGCATGAAGTTGTTGAGTTTCCTGCCATTTTAAAGGCCATACTGTAAAAGTCAGTTAATGCAGTAGGTAAGACTACAAACCAGCCTGAGGAAGGGAAAGATAAGAAGATGTGACTGCTTTCTTTGCATTTAGGAGAAAAGGGGGAATTTCTAGAGCTGCAGGATTTTTCTTGGAGGCAGTACTCTTTTAGGATATTACCAGAAAAAGAGCAGTTTTGAGCTTGAATGAGTGAGTATGACTGACTGAGAAGACTGGCTCAGGCTGTGGCATGATAGGGTGGGAGCAGTAGAATTTAATGCAAGATCACCAGGTGGGTACCTCCTTGGGTGGTCCTCACAGAATACATACTTCACATCTGAGGTTTATGTTTTATGTGAGTCAATTGAAAAATTCATCTGCTTTAATAATCAGCACCTCTTTAAATGCTCTCTTGAAACTGATGAAGGAATACAGTGAATTAGGAATGCCAGACAGACATAATAAATGGAGAAGCTTCATATCTAAGCACAATGAATCTGAACAATGCTAACAAATCCAGATAGTAGGTTTTACACTCATTTTGCTCAACTAGAAGTAACTGCTCAAGACAGAGAGTCAGCGAGTGAATACTAGTGGAATTAGGCCCTGTATATTAAGCCTTCTTTCAGGATTTCAACAGCATTAATTAATTCTCATCATCCTGCCGTGTGTAGCTAAAAATTTACTATCCCCGTTTTATGGTTGGATAAAATTAGCCATATAAAGGTTATGTGATTTGTGCAAGGTCATGTAGTAACTCTGTAGCAGGGCTGAGAGCAGAATTAGAAGTCATAACCTCTGTTACTTTGGGCTAATGATGAGTCTACATGCCACGTGTTATCCTTTTGTAAGTGACATATACTCTGACAAGGGCAGACTACAAATTAAGTATTTAAGAGATTTTTTTTTTTCTGTATAGCTCTTCATATTGTATGTATCATAAAGGAATACAGGTCCACCTGATGGAACACTGGATTCTCTGTGTTGAGAATGAGCCTTGCCCTTTTTAGGTCTATACATTTCACTCGGTGACATACCTAACTGCATGGGCAAAATTAACTTTATACCAAATGCTCAGTTTATCCCAGTGCTTGTTGAAAAAGTCCATGTACAAGAGCATAGGGAAGAACAAATAAATTGGATTAGAAGAATGAAAACAATTTCCCTGGAAGCGTCTGAAATTAAATTCTTCCTTGTGACCTTGAGAGACCATGAATGCTGAAAACCAGTTCTTGCAGGTTCTGCAGTTAGCAGCTTTTCTAAATGTCTGAAAGTCAAGGTAATCTTCCATTGCTACAACACATCATTTCCTGCACTTGCCACCACTGCTGGAGCAAACACAACTCTCTATGGCTATCTCAGCTGTATAATTCAGCAGTAATTGTATAGCTTTGGTGTCAGAGACTGAAACAGTTAATGATTTACACATTCTGAGATCACCAAAAGACTTTTGCAAACTGAAAAGAAGCAGCTGTTCACCCAGCAAACACCCCCCCCCACCACACACCCACACCCACACACCCACCATTACTGCTAAAGAATCAGTTAAGTGGGTGCCATTGTCCAGCTATCCTGGGTGCAAATGCTTGCCTGAGGAAGGGAAGAGGCTAAAAAGAGGCAAGTCCTTAAAGGTGGGAAAATCCCTTTTATCGTGCCAGTGTCCTCCCTTTACATGAACTCTGTGCATCTAGCCTGGGCTATATACCTCAAATGTTGGACCATGATGGACCAAGATTGATGCTGGTGCAATAGGCAGCATCGGGATGTCGGAGGCTCAGAGGCTTGTAGAGGCTCTTGACATAGCCCATAACATTCCATTGTAAAACTCCCCAGCCCTGAGAGGTAGAAGGTATTCCCATCTAAGCTGGAAGTGTCTAATAACTCATAATTTCTTTGAGTTGCATGGGGGCTGCCCCCACTCCCAACGGACCAAGACCACCACTTCATCCAACAGATATGGAAGCTGCGACTACCAAGTTTCTTCACTGGATCCAGGGGGTGGTGACTATATACATCTTTCCACAGTTATCCTTTCTTCCTCTTTCTCTCCCTTATGCATTTCCTTAAGTGCTATCTTTATGCTTTAAAAATGCTTTGATATTGCTGTTTAGATGATTATTGCTATGGTTTAATATTGCCATATTGCTATAGATGCTTTGATATTGCTGTATTGATGATAACATATATATAGATGTTGTATTGCTATAGAATGATATCACCCAAAATGGCAACATACCTGTTTACCTTTGAAACGAAATTGTTCTAAAAAAACCCCTTCATATATATGTTTACTAAAACCAATTATTCAGTGTCCTTTCACTCCAGTCCACCCCAAGGGATTTATTAAGAATCTGGATTACCGTCCCCTTTCTGGGGCAGGTCGCAATGCTTGGGATATAGGTTACATTTCTTCTTTCTTCTGCTTGTAACAGAATAAAAAATGTGTCTGAGCTAAATGACATGGGCCTGACTGGACTTGTGGTAGTGGGATGGGGAAAACATGACATTCAAGGCATTTATTTAGGAAGAAGAGAAATTATGTTTTTCAGGTTCAGCTAAAGCTTATTGTTTCAACCTTGGAGAACAGACAAGATACAAGCCCCTAATAACTTGGCAATTTAAAGTAAAACAAAGTGTGAGGACAGTAAAAACAGGAAGGAAAATTTCCCCGCTTTAAAATAATTTAAATTTTATTTAAATGTAATTAAAATGAATCACATATACAACTGTTTGAATTACTAATAAGAAATAAAGTGCTAGATAGTATTATTGCATGAGTAATTACTCAGAGGCCAGTGACATGTTTTTCTAGTTTGCATTCTGATGGTACGCAAAAAAGCCATCAAGATAAGGACTGATTATCATATTTCTCTGTTTTTTAAATGTGTATTGTACTAGGCACAATTAAAACACACAGGAGCAGTCCCTGCCCCAAAGACTTTACAGTCAAAAGCATTGTTAGTGGGAAAATAAATGGGTAAAGTGGTACTTCATTGCTTTCATTTCCTTCACTTTTAAAAATGTATTTATTGTAATTTTTATTACAGTAACAAGGAATGAGGAAGTTGAAAATGGCTGAAGGAGGCAAAGAAACAGCAGAAAATTAATTAGAAAGGAAAGAGGACACCGAAGTGGCAGTGTGGCAAGAGAACTGAAAGGTAAAAGCAGAATAGGACTGAAAGGAGCTTAGCTGGCAGGTAGGGAGCCAGCTGGAGTTAAGGAAGTATTTTAGAGCAGGTGTGGTGATGGGGATTATCTATTAAATTTAAAAGGGTAGGGACTCTCAGAGAGTTTAATTCTTCTTTCTTCTGAGCTACTTTGTCCTAGGGATGAACATCATTAAATTTGTAACACTAATTAGGAATCCATGAGAGAATGGTAGAAGACCTGGATGGTTTTGTTTTGTTGGTTAAAAACTAGTTTGACCCTTCCAGCATATACACTTGCCCCCAAATTGACTGCTTCCACTATTTTTAATGATTGCAGGGATATTCTATTGTGGAGGTGATTTTATTTCATTAAGTGGATTGGCAAAAATGATGGGGGGAGAATGGAGGATGCTGGTGGGAAGGAGGTGTGCATTTAATACATTGATGTGAGGCCTGTAAGATCTGAGATAAAGCACAACCATTACCTTCTCATACCTTTGCATTACTAGCCATTACTGAATGACATGGCACAGAAAGGCTGCTAGCGAAGGCTAATGCCTATACAGCTGGTATAATGAAGAAATGGGAGGTTTAGGCACAGGAAACCACAGCTTCAACAGAAGGAGCTGAAAAGATATAGATAAGATTAGTGACATATGTAAAGGCACAGATAATGTGTGACAGAGTCTGCCCAGCTGAATAGGCTGAAGCCAGCAGTAATAGGAAGCCCATGTTCTTCCTAATCCTCCCAGATAAGCTGTTCCATCCAGAATTATCAGCCAACAATCTTCAGGGTATCAGGCTGAAAATGAAGTTTCAGACTGCTTTGATTCCTCATCCATAAATGAGAAACTGCCTGAAAGATCTTTATTTATTCTCACTCCCTCCGAAACACTCTTCAAAAAGTGCCAATATACTAGCAACAGATGCATAAAGCCTTGCTTACTTTGATTGACAGAACATGATATAAAGCAACTCTCACTTGACATTTCAGTTTCATCAGGCTTCAAGGAAGTGTATGTGTGTGTGTAACTTTAAAACTTCACAAGGAAAAAAAAGGATATATGCAAACTTCAAGAAAATGTTTTCTGAATAGAGTACAACCTTTCCCTTGTTTCAAGATCTTGTATGACAAGCAATTTCAGTGTATTGTTTCACTTCTGTGTTTATTAAATGCCTGCAGTATTTGCACTGTTGGCTTTTGCAGATTTTCAAAATAATTGATATATATGTCCCCAGGAAATACATTTAATTTGAAGAGAAAAAGAATTTTAGAACAAAATTTCAAAATATGAATGAGTATGAAAAGAAATATGGATTAATATCTTCCTTCAAATAATTAAAATTATCAAAAAGGTACAAGAAACATTTTTTGGGGGTTTTGTGTTTCTACTTTATACTGGCACCCACTTGTGGTGTGCCTGTTTTCCTGATGTAACTACTTTAGTCTAACTCCTCCGAGGAAGTAATCTGGGCAACAGTTATGAAAAGTATTTGCACTATGTTCTCATTAGCTTTTAGACTTTAATACATTTTTCTATTCTTTCACATGGTTTGCCTGGAGCTTCCAATGACACTATGTTCTAAATATGTGAACACTCCAGAACACTGACAGTGCTTGGGAATTTAACAATTTGTACCTGGAGAGAGAGAAAACTGCTTGAAAGAATCTATAACCCTCAACCCTTTATGATAGGATGCATCTGCTCTTCCTAATGAGGAATACTTCTCACTTCTGAAGGAAAAGACTCTGTGTATAAGTTTTTTGGGAGGAAAGAACAGAACCATGATCAAAGGGCATTAGCAGATTTCTTACTTTTTATTTACAATGGATAAAGATCAATAACTAAAATACTACTAGTGGAAGAACATTAGAAAATGGAATTTGTTCCTGAATATTAACAGGAAACTTCAAAGAAAGGGTGAAGAAATGTAGATGAAGCATTCCAACTTTGCTTTCCTCTGGTTCCATTTCCCCTACAATAAGCTGTAAATTATCTGCCTCCAAACCTGAAAAAGTGCTGTTTGTACCTAATAATCACATGTCAAAAAAGCTACTAATATTTCAGAATACTAGTTATAACACAAAATAATAAATAGCTAGTATTTTCAGAAATGCTTTTGGTTTTCATATTTTGTAAGATTTTTAAGACCCTACCTCTTCCAACATTACAAGCAGATTTTTCTACTTCCTCTTATTCTTGCCTGACCCTACTTAATGAAACAAAGATAAACTGACTGAAATGTCCTGTACTGTTTTTTCTTACAGGGGAAAGAGTAAAACTGAAGGAGATTTTTTTTAACTAACTGTCAAAACAGCTACATTTTCAGAAAGTAAATGTGAATTTACTTTATGTGAACAATAAATACATTCCTGATTGGTTCTCCATAGTGTTTTGCATTTTCCATTTGTCTTTGTTCTATGGGCACAACTGTTAAGAGTTTCTGTTTACCACTTCTGTTAGTTTACCACTCTTCTCTTCTGCAGAAGAGTGGCAGCAGGTCATTACCAAACAAGTTACAAGAATACATATTAAAATCAACATCCCCATCACCAAATGCATGGACAGGACTAATAGCAATCTCCAAACCAAGGAATCCTGAGGGAAGATCTGGGCACTGGGGAGTGAATCGCAGACAAAGTGGAGTTAGAAAGGGAAAGAGGTAAAAGTTAAAAGATGTAGGTTTAGAAATGGGTAATTCATCTTCAGATGCAGATGTAATGTGCCTTTCTTGTCTTTTCTTCTTTCTTGTTCTTCACTACTGGATCATGCACAACTTTTCTGAATTTCTAAAACTGACAAGCTAGAAAATAGGAGACCTCTGCCCAGCTTTTTATCCCAATATATTGTAGGAAACCAGAAACGTATTTTTGTTCCTGCACTCTTAACTATAAGAGAATAGCAAAATTCTCCTGTTATTGGACTTCTGTTTGCTGAAAAATAGTAAGAAGCAAAATAAACTAATATTTACAATGTTGAGTGTCCTGTTGAACACTGCAGAACAGCAGCTGGTAAGTAATGTCCACATTCATATTTGGAGTCATGAAACAAAATGGGTCCTTAAGTGCAAGTCCCACCAAAGTCAAAGGGATTGTCCTTACTCAGATGACATTAGAATTGAATTTTTCCTATGAATCTCTAGCCATGTTATCAACATAATTAGTGGACTTGAACTGATGCTGACCTTTTTAATTCACAGGTGGCAGAACTTTTGAGTGGGCTAAAGACAAGCCTGTAGGCATTGCTTAATAGTTTTCCTTGGCTGCAAATGATCATTTCAGCTACATGTTTGTCTATGAATATGGAAAAAGCCTTCAAGTACCATATTTATTTTTAAGTAAATAATATTCCTCAGTCATGGTTTAGAACCAGCTTTGACTGCTGAAGAGAAGGCAGAGTTGGAAGCTGGGTCTTTGGGTGCAGTGAGTCCCTGCTTTGTCCATACATCACTGTTGTCAAGCATGTGAGAGGGGGGAAAATAGAAAAAAAAGAGATTGAGGAGAAAACATGCTGAAAAGGAAAAGTCCTGTTGACTTTAAACAGCTGTATCAGAGACAATATTTTGAGGACAAACAGGACATGGAGAGGATTAAGGAAACTATTTGGTTTCTCAAAACCTTAAGGCAAAGCTGTTTCTTCCACTCCTGTGGGTAGGTTAGACAATGAGGTGAAAGCTAGTAAACCTCTATCTATTTGTACTGCCAAAATTTAGTTAATGTAACTGATGCCTCCAGTGCATTCTGCAAAACCCAAAAAACTTTCTGGAAATGCTGACATGCTGGCATAACCTGTATTCCAAACAGAAAAAAAAAAAAAAAAAAGAAGAAAAAGAGGAAGATAAAACATCAAAGAGCAGCTCCAGCAAAGAGCTAAAGGGTTAAAATAATTTGAAATGCCACACAAAGTGCTCCCACAGTTTTAAAATGTTAATCAGTTTTGAAAGTGTAAGTCAACCCCTGCTGATAAAGAAAATGAACACATGAACAGAGGAAAAATTGGAGTTTCTGAATTAAGAATCTGTGTGGCTTTTCATCAACACCTGGTAGGCGATCCAAAGACTCAAGCTTGTCATGCAGCAGATTGGTGTACAACTCTGCGTTTTATATAATGCATGCATTTAGAGCCACAATGCCTACCTTTTTTTGGTTTTTTTTGGTAGCCATTTTTATTATGCAGGTACTGGGGATGACAAAGGAAAGCACTGAGACATCTAGAGGTTTCTCTGAAAGTGTCTGAACTCACTGATTGCTTTCACTGCCAATTACCATGATTCTAACTTAGATTTTCCCAAAGGAACTATCAGCTACTCTACATCCTTTGCTCTGCCTGATTTAACTAAAGTGGAATAAGAGATAAGGAAAACGGGAAGTTGCTTCTGATCTGTGGGTATTTGCAGAGAGAGATTCTGACTTCCCATCCTGCCACAGATGCTTCAGCGCAGAAGGAAGGAGAGAGGTTGCATGATCTCTAAATTACATCAGCTTTGCCTTGCAGTACATGTGCTTTGTCACTATTGTGTTCAGGATAGGTTTAATTTGTTTTTTGGTTTTTGTTTGGGGTTTTTTTTTCAGGCTGACTTTTTCTTAGTGTTAGTTTCTAGGGTTTAATTTGATAAGGTACATCATGAGCACTGAGGATGATTAATGCTGCAGGAAGCAAGATGATGAGACCCTTATTTGGGGGAAAGTTTTTGCTGTAAGAAGAGCATGGCATAGTTTCTTCTGTTGATTATCTATTATAACAAATGTGGGGGGAGGGATAAGAACCCTTCTTTTACTGCAGTCAAGATGTCTTAAACTCCTTGCACAAAGACTAAAATACACAAAACAGATTTTCTTATTTTAAAATGGCATTTACTTTCTGTGTATTTATCTTACATATGTTGCATTTTATAAATTCAGAACTTGTAACCTCAGAGTGGGATGTTTCTCATGGCCCCAAGCATACATCTCTGATTATAACATCCTATTATGCATGGATGAAAAGCTAAGCTAATAACTAATTTTCACCCTCACAACACAGGCATCTTTGACAAGATTAAGAGCGATTGTTTTTAAGGGATGTTTTCTAACATTATCTGAAAGTGGATGAGTAGGCAAGTAAGGAAGCAAGGTACGATCCTGCATTAGAACATTAGAACTAGGCAATTTTGGCAATGCACATAAGAAAGTACACAACATTCAAAAGAGAAGACACAGGCAGAAAACACATCATATTAATGAACATAAGAGCAACAGCAGAAAAGACTATGAAGGAAGCACCTAAAAGATTTAAAAATTCTGTCTGTGAATATTGCACAATCTTTCTTCATCTTTTATGTCCAAACTGAATGTGTTGTGCATTGTTATAGTATTGTGAGAGTGTGTGTAACAACAACTACATAGTAGAGAATAAGTGGTACCTCTTTCTCTTCTTCCAGGGACATGTTAATGAGCTCACATACAGAAGTTTATCTTCTTATAGTGAAATTATGTAACTAATATTTTTTGTCTTGATAAACATAACCATTTAAGGAGCTATCAATAGAAACACAAATGCTGCAGGAAATGGTATATCTGGTTGTGTAAACAGTTCCTTTGTGTGGGTGCACTGCCTTTTGGCTTAGAGAAAATGTGTATGTGTTTGTGGTCACTAAAGACACTACAGTACTTTCCACGGTTATGTTTGTTAACATCAGTGTCAAATTTAAATTGTAGCTTGGATATCAAAGTCTACCTAAAACTTCCCCGTGTGGTTTGTCTAATGCTGTTCTCTGCTTCCTTTTCTCTCCAGAATGGCCATGCAGTGCAGCTCTGAATGGCCTATTAATTATCACATTTTATCTTGTGCTATATGCAGCACAATTTCAGTGGAAAAATTAAAGATTAAGAACACTCACACATATTTTTCTGGTTTTGTTTTGTTTTGGGTTTTTTTGTTTTATTTGGGTTTGTGTTTGTTTGGTTTTCATTTGTTTTGGTTTTTTTTCCCTGAAGTGCTGTGTACCTTTAGAAGTCCACCAAGATTACAGGGCTGTAAAAATTCTCTTACTCACTATCATTACTGGCAACATGAAGATACAGTTTACATAGAAAGCAAGGCTAAAAAAATCTGAATAAGAGAAAGGACACTAAGAAACTCCCCTGATAATTAGTGATGACTGCAGTTGAAATTTAACTGTAAGGTTGTCACACAAATTGATATGGGCATTACTAGACACTGTGTGAGTTATGATATATTTCTTAGTGATAGAATAAATAACAAGATCAATTGCTCATTTCAGCTGCAGAGACAAGAGTGGCCTAGCAAAAAAACCAAAAACCAACCAACCAACCAAAAATTAAAGAAAAAAACTGAAATACAGTGGATATTGCACAACCAGTGAGTGCCAAATTGACACCACAGTACAGGAAGCAATTAGTATCAATGCAGTTAAGCTAGATTTAAATTAGCTCTGATGTCAATGGCAGTGTAGCTGTAGAAATGCAAAATCCAGCTAGTTAAAGGCATGAACAGTAGCCATTTGCCCACAGTTTGTACCTTGCACTTAACTCCAGAAAGCCACTGAAATCTTATTTGTTCCTCAAGTAAGTTTATTCGTAGCAGAACTGCGCATTTCTTCAAATCTTGTTAACCTGAAATGAGACATTTTTTGCCTCTGTTCAAGTGGGACCAACCATCTGGAAACTAATGTAACTGACTTCCTGAGGATTCCCCATTTATTAAAGCACCTTCCCAGAGCACGGCCTTATATACCTGACCTTCAGTTATGAATGATCCCACATAGTCTCAGGCAGTCAGCAACAACAGAACCATTTTAGATGGCTCTAATCTATGCCAAAATCAGTCTGGCCTCTGCCAGACCCAAAAATCACAGGAGTGCAAACATAGATTCAGGCCATGCTTTTCCCACCTTTCCTTGTAATTCAGGAGGACAAAGGGTTTACCCAGCAACGGGATACCTACTGGTTAACTTGGAAAAGTCTCTTCTTAAACCATTTAGAAATTGGATTTAAAATGAAAAATGTTTTATATTTAGGACATTGTAGCTGAAAACAGAAATCTGAAAGCCTAGGAATAGTAAGACTTGACAGCAACCTTAAAATGTACCCTTTTCCCTTTGTTTATTTTTCCTGTTACTGAAGGAAGAATAATTCCTCAGGGAACAAAATACACTTATTTATAACAGAGTATATAATCAGTTCAAACTATCCTCTACCAATAGCAACAACAAAACTTCTACTCAGAACGTTGAACAGGATTACATTAAAAATATGACATGAGCCCTTCAGAGGTTTTCAATTATTAGTTTTCTTGCATTGCACAAAAGTACAAACTGTCATTGTACAGTGGCTTTTTAAAATTCAGAGTATGAAATAGATGAATTTCCTTCA